AATCGCAATGCGAATTTGTACTATCGCATCGCGATTTTCAAGAATCGCGTTGCGATTTTGGAAACTGATTTGCGATTCTGGAAACTGATTTGCGATTCTGGGGATCGCGTTGCGATTTTTATTTCGCGTTGCGATTTTGTTGGTCATTTTGGCAAATCCAAAAAAAGTTGGTTAAAATCGTATATTATAACTTTTTTTTGGTCACTGAGGCGATTTTCTCTATTTTTTTTTACGTATAAGATCACTTGATAAATTCAAGACGAGCATTTATTAAATTCAAATAAATAAATATCAACGTAAAGACGAGCATTCATTAAATTCAAATAAATGAATATTAAATTTTAAACATTTTTATAATATGTAAATGTATGGATGTATAGAATTTAGATACATGAATATTTAACGGGTAAAAAATTATATAAAATTATAAATCTCTGAACAGCAGAACAGTTAACAGAGCATATAAAGAGTATGCATCAAATTTTATTTGTAAAATAGTACTGAAAAAGGTGTTTTTTTGCCTATTAGGAACAACTGTTTTATTAATTAGCTTAATAGGGCGTATATAAATTTATTTTATATTTTTTTATTCAAACTCGTTAAGTTAAGATGACAAGTTTTAATAAAATATAATTTTTTTAATTAAATTTTATCACATCAGGATAAAAGATTTAAATAAAAAATATTTTTTAAGACTCGTGATGAGTAATAAATTACTGTAGCAAATGTTGTAGATCCCAAAATAAACTTCTATATGTCCTAGTGGACTAATTAATTAAATTGTTTATCCTATTGAAAAAAACAATAAAAACAGTAGTTTTAATTATATATTCAAATAAAAATTGAGGTTTTAAGGGCCTGTTTATACTTAAACCCAGTTTAGAACATTTTATCAGGTCTCCAGATTTGAAAGCCCAATCCATTTTCTTCGTTATTAATTTAATATCAGTGAATAAGAGTTTTCTGGAAGCTTAAACACACCTTTTCTATACCGTTTTTCGAGTTATCTCTTAAAGTATTATTTAAGACGTTTGGTCTCCGATAGTTTAAATCGTTACCTCATTTGCCCTAATCTGTAACTCCGTTAAAACACATGTGGGTAAATTACATATTTAACCACTCAACTATTCCTACAGTTCTATTCTGGTCAGTCAAGTATTTTTGTTTTCAGAATCATCAGTAAACTTTTTGTTTCATTTTGATAACCCAATTCGATTAAATTTACTTTTAAATTTACAATATATAAGAATTAATTTATATCACATATTTTTACTCGACACATAAATTTAATGTATAATAATAAATAATATTATAACGTAAATAATATACAACATATTTAGTTGCTTGTAATTAAAATTTCAATAAAAGAAATATTAAATATTTTATAAGGTGAAATTTCGGTTCAATTATGCAAGTTGTATTCCAAATTGGATTTACACTCTTTCTTCTTTGAGTGTGCTTCTCTTAAGAACTAATCATTTACAAGGTGAAATTCCGGTTCAATTATGCTGATTGAATAAAGCTCTTATCCTCGCAGGAAGAAGCTCATAGCTTTTGCCTTAATAGTTTCACTATACTCGACTGTTCAATTATCATTGTATAATTCTGTGATTTACAATTTACTTTCAATTATTTGTTTAAGTCCTCAAACTTATAATTTTTAAGGAAAAATAATGTTTTTATAATTAATATTGATGTGGATTTTAAGTATATTTTAGAATTATATATTTTTGAAAAATTTTACTCGTTTTTTTTATAATTATGTATAAATTTTGGATTTTTTATTTTTTAAATATAGAGACCAAGTTGCACATTTTGAAAATACATTAATAATTTTTTTAAAGAAAATTAAACTTAATTATGGTATATTATTTTTTAATATAATAAAAATTTCAAGTTCGACCTCAAACCTATCTAAAATATTGTATGTAGCACTCAATTTCAAGTGTAGTCGTTTTTAATAAGTTTAAAATATTTTTTTTCATATAACCTTTTTTATTTAACAATGTTATATATTGATGTGATGTTAAAATTATAAAATATGTAGGATATTGGAATTTTTATGTTATATAATTTTGTTAAATATTTTAATTTAATATTTAATATTCCTTTGATTAAAATTTTAATTACAAACAACTAAATATGTTATATATTATTTACATTATAATATTATATATCATTATACATTAAATTTATGTGTTGAATAAAAAATGTGATATAAATAAATTCTTATATATTGTAAATTTAATAAAAATAAATCTAATCGAAATGAGTGACTAAAACGAAACAAAAACTTAAGTTTAGTGATGATTTTGAAAACACAAATAGTTTACTGACCAAAATATAATCACACAAATAATTGAGTGATTAAATATAAAATTTATCCATGTACTTTTTAACAAAGTTAATAGATCGGGGAAATGAGATAACGATTTAAACTTTACGGGAAAATGTTACGAAAAATACTTTAAGGTCCAATTCGGTAAAAATGATATAATTTAGGGGGAAAGTGTATTTAAGCCTTTTCTGGAAGGTGATTTTCTTTCTGTATTTTGGGTTTGATTTTGGGTTTTAAGGGCCAATTCACGAGGTTCCTCTCGGCATATTTAATGTATAATTAACCAACAGTTTCGTTTGCTGGAAGTGTAAGGGCTGTTTCCGATTCATCGATCCTAAAACTGAAGAATGGTGCTGATTGAACCTCAACCCGCTGATGAGCATCAACATCATAATCAACAACAACAAGAAGAAGAAACTACGAAAACGACTTCAGTATCGCCATGGCCATCCGAAACGACGACGGGTAATCCAGCAGCCGCCGCTGCATCAGCAATTGTTAACGGAGGTGATCATGCCTCCGATGGATTCGAAACAGCTAGCGACCGAGACGTAAGCGACAGCGAAGAAGACGGCCGCGCCCGCTATCAACAGAAAGATCCCGATTCTTATCGAGATGCCTTAAACGAAGATGAATTAAAAGAGGTTCGAATTTCTCCCTCTCGCTCGCTCGTTCGATCTTTTCTTATTTTTGTCTAATTGATTATTGAAAGGAATATTATTTTCTAGAAAGCTTTGGCTCAAGCAAATGATGCGAAGATGGAAGGAAATAAATTGTTCGGAAACGGCCAATACGAGGAGGCATTGTTGCAATACGAGATTGCTTTGCAAGTTACGGCGGATATGCCTTTGGCCTCCGAAATTCGTTCCATTTGTCATTCAAATCGCGCAGTTTTGCTTTATGAAGCTGGTATTCATTTATTGATTAGTTACTTCTTAAAGTTGAATTACAGTTTCTTTGAATGTGTTTCTTCTTTTTTACATGTTCGAAAACTGTATTATTTTTAGGGTAAATATGAGGAAACCATCAAGGAATGTAGTAAAGCTTTGGAACTTAATCCTTCTTATATGAAAGCTCTTGTTAGACGAGGAGAAGTTCATGAAAAGCTTGAACATTTTGAGGAGGCTATTGCTGGTGAGCACCCTCTAATTTAATTGCTTGTTCCTTTTAGAAACATTTATTTCATTCAGAGGTGTTTGTGAAAAGTCATTCATTGATCTATTTTTTATGATTGAATTTGTTTCAGCATTATTCATTGTTTGTAATTATTTTTCTTGCAAATTCCAGATATGAAGAAGATATTAGAATTGGATCCTGCTAATGATCAGGCTAGGAGGGCCATTCGTCGATTGGAACCACTGGCTGCTGAAAAGAAAGAAAAAATGAAAGATGAGATGATTGGTAAGCTTAAAATTTGTGTTTTTATTTTCCTTTGTATCACATATCAGGTACCCGTATATCTGATTCTTGTTATTCTATAATCATTAGCTGCTTCCTATAGCTCAATGTGTCTGTTGTCTAATGTAATTAATCTAGTATATACCACATCAACTTATTGTTTCCAAGCAGCTCATAAGCAAATTTAGGTTATTTTGTTTTCTTCTTACTAAATGTTAACCGTAATGAATATCTAGTTTATTGGTTATTTGTTACCATCTCTAATTGAATCGTACAGACTTAAAGTGCAATCTGCAGTTGATGAATACTGTAGTAGTTGAGTGATATTTGAATCTTGGATTGGATTTGGTGCTGGGCTTTGAAACCTTAATTGAAAAATGGAAGCTTTTTGGTATTTGATTCTAGTCACTGATGTTATTTTTGAGCCTATTGTATTGCCAAAGAGAACTTGACATTCTCTTGCAACTTTAAGATAATTATTTTAGCCTTTTTTCTATTCCATGATGCTTTCTGTTCATGGTATGATCTAGCAAATTAGATCCTTGCTGGAATTGTTGGAGATTGCATACGGAGAAATATTTTATGTTGTTACTTTTGACGTGCTTCGTTTATGCATCACTAACCATATATAGATGTACATGACATGGCAGGAAAGCTGAAAGAATTGGGCAACTCTGTTCTGGGTCGATTTGGGATGAGTGTTGACAACTTTAAAGCTGTCAAAGATCCAAACACCGGTTCATATTCTATATCATTCCAGCGTTGATATTGGCACTAGGCACTAGCCACTAGCAACATGCGGTATATGTAGTGAGAAAAAAAAAGGAAGGCAACCGCTAGAATGACACAAGATACGCAGGCTTGTGGAAGAAAATGGCGAATATTGCTTTGAAGGTCGACCTGGCATTCTTGTTTTTTGTCATGTTTCTGTATTTTCTCGTCAGAACCATATTTTAGTTATTATATATTCATATAATAAACCTTCTCAGAATTCAATAATTTGCATTATAAAGATTTTGGCATATTTTTTTTTGGTTGTATCATGTTCGTATTATATTCAATTTTCTGTATTATGTAATTTGCTTGGCCTATTTGCAAGAAAAGCTGTTGGTCTGAGGCTTTGTGTGGTATGGACTCCTTTCAATCCTTAATAAAAAACAAAACCCAAATGTCCATGGCTTGCACCGTGTTGATATCAACCGTCTTTAGTGCTTTTTTAGCCATTCTTATCAGTTACACCGATGGTGATATGGTTACAAAGAGAGTTTCGAAAGACACAATTTATTATCTCTATAGGTTCATGTTTGGGGTTTACAAGCATTAAAATTCCCTATAATCCTGGCATATGTTCGTTTAAAGCTGCTTTATGTCATTTTATTGCGGAGCCATGGCTGCCATTTTCACATATCAAAGGGGTTCCCGGAAGGTTTGGGTGGATTATAGTCAACCATGGCCAATGCAGGCTGCTGCATTAGGTCAGCTTGATGTGGAGCCATGGTGGCCAGTGTCTTACTAGTCAAAGGTGTCGCGTTACTGCATCCATAAAAAGTGGGAACCTGGTTGTAATCTGCCATGACAAGAGGGTTGAATGAATGGTAACCAGTCATGGCCATGTGAGGCTGCTGTTGCATGAAGTAAATTGGGTGTTGAGGTCTGGCTGGCATTTGTACATCGGTTTGGTGTGTGATATAGCTGCTTCCATAAAAGGGACCCCGACTGTTGTAATTTATGTCGAAAGGGTTGGCCGACACCGGACCGAAGTTGAAGGCCATTTGCTGATTTGTTGCTAATACACCTTGTGGTGTTAATCCGTTCAATCGACCGGTCTGCATTTGAAGATATTGTTAATGACAATCCAAGATGAACAGAAAGCAGTGTTATTTTAAGTACTCAGACTAACCATTTTATTATCGGCAACAGCAGCTCCATTGGAGGTTGGTGAATTACAAAGCGCAAGCTCCCAACCTGTAGATGCAGGTGCTGAGCTCTTAACGTTTTCGTAATATGGAGGATTCTCTGTTAATGTTTATGGAAAAGATGATGTTAAAAACATCTGATTGATCACTCCGACTGGAAAATAAATAGGCGGCTTAGTGAAGACCTATAATTTACCAGAATCGACAATAGCTAGAGCAAGGGGATTATTGTCAATCAATTCAGATGATTCCTCACCTGGTTCATCGAAGCTCTGACAGTGGGGTAGATAAATAAGAACAAACATGATAAATTAAGAACGATAGACCTTATTGTTACCAAATGTATCATCAGCTGAAGAGTGCTCCTTACAATAAGATCACCAATGTCTAGATTTGCAACAGCCTTCATTGTGTCACTCGAGGCTTGATTAGAAGATGAATCAGTTGTTTCTTGAGCACCGTCATCTTGGATATCACCCGATAACAAATCAGGTACTGGAGCAGTGCTTTCTGTGGGAGAAGCACCTTCATGAGCTTCTACCTGATAAAAAATTGTAAATAAAGAAATTCATAGTGTAGCTAATGCAGGTTCTAGTAATGAAAGTAGTGATGGGCATGGACATCAACTATACGACTTCAAGTCCAACTCTGCAAATTTCTAATTTTCTTCATAGAGATGGTTTACCCCCTCAAAAGTCAGGGCAGGATAAGATAGCTATCAAGTAAAATGACGTGTTGAGGCATCATACTGATGTATAATATGGAAGTGCCAAAACTTCAGGAGTATCTTTCACATATTCCTCCATGGCTATCAGAAATGAATCAGGGAGCTGCAATTGTACATGTCATGGGAAGTTGAACAAAATCATTGAAAATTCAAAGAAACAAGAAACTTGCTAAGTCATTTTTTAGGTCCAATACCGGTTTAATCTTAAGGTACTTCTGCCCTTGCCCATAGTGAAGGCCCCTGCAGATCTCAAAGAATTCTGATAACTGCGTGGCCTGCAGCAAGATACAAGATTGCTTGGTGAAGATGATGTTTGCAACAAGAACATAAGGGGTCAAATTATGAACATATGGAGACTATATGAAACCGACGGAAAGATCTGTTTGCGGAGCTGAGAGTTCTACCTGTTCTCCCACCTTCTTATAAATCTCTAGGGCCCTAAGAGCATGGTCGCGCTGCATCTCGAAATACTGTGAAAAAAAAAAGAGGATCCATTGCCTTCAAATTTGTATCTTAGTAGTTGGAGAAACATGAGTTTCCATCAGATGACATTAACTAATGCTTACCTTGTCAACCAGATTTAGAACTCCATCACTAATTGCAATGTACAATTTAACACTTTCACCTGCAATCTAAAAGAGCAAATCTATAAGAATATAGAATATTAACAGAACCTGGATGCTTTTTAGGTAAGTTACTTACAATTGATACAACATAATGAATCAAGTGGCTGTAAAAAGCTGACCCCACTGGCTGCAGAAATGACACGGTGAGTGGAGGGAGGAAAAGAAGCAATGCTAAAAGTGTAGCTCTTAGAAGAATTTATCAATGGGGCATGATTCGAGAAAAAAGAAAGACTGCAAGGGTGTATACCTTGCAATTAAGAAGGCGACCAAGGAGCTCTTGCAAGACAGGTAGCTGATCTAGCAGATCCGGGGTGTCGAGCCTTCCGTTTCTCTGTAGAAATGTTTCGAATCCAAAACATGGAAAAAACAGTTTAAAAAAGGACAGTGAGTGAGTTCACAAATTATTCAAAACACTGCTGCAGCTTAAAGGGAGGAAAGAATCGAAATATTGAGTTCAAAGATCATACCGACTGATCTTTATCAACATCATATCTCAATACATTGTAGCATACCGAACGCTCTTCGAGATATAAAGCGTATTCCTGAACCCAACTAGAGTAGTTCCATGCTTGACACCAAGAAAGCCTCTCAATAGTCAGTTTGTGTACTTCCAAGCATAGCATTAAAGAGCAGAAAAAGAAGAAAGTAGACCTAATAGATAGTAGCAGAAAAAGAAGAAAGTAGACCTAATAGATAGTAGCATACTTTCTGGACTCGAATTATTTCTGAGATGGGATACGCTCAGAAGGAGACCTCTTTCCCGCTCTATATTAACCAACTCTTGGTGAAAAGAGGGGTCATGTCTTAGTATACGATGTATAATGATCAATGATTTCAATGCAACCTGAATGCAACATGATCTACTCAGATTACAAGGGATATTGATTAATGCATATGCATGCTTGATATGTGGATTTGTACTATGGTGAATGCAAAATAACCAAGGCTTGATACGAGATCGGGAGGTACCGTCCAAGTACGTGTTTTAGAAAGACGCTTCAACAGTGTGTGTATGCAAAAAGCGGCATCGTAGCGACTCCCAGCAGCAGCCAAGATAGCTAATGACAAGAAAGCATTTTTAAAGTATAAAAGAATAATGTTATAAGACAGAGACAATTGCAGGCTCCTGCAAACTCGATATGCAGATAAGTTTCACTCACTCCTGACATATTTCTCCTTTGGAATCTCTTCCTTACGGTCGGTCGCCTTGACAACGGCAATCTCTACTTCCTTTAGTTCATAAATATAACCTTCTTAAGCACGATGTCGATAAAAAAATGCTCGATAACAATTCGGGAACTGAACTTACCTTGTGACCACTGTTTACCCTTGCCAATCCAACCATTGTGGAGTCCTTTAGAGCCACAATAGCTCTTATGAAACTGTGCTGACTGCTGCTCGGCATTCTATTTCAACAAAACAAGTTATAATTATCATTGAACAAGCGGATTCACATTAATCATATTGACCACCGACAAGATTAAGGAGGAAGCAAACATAAAGAGAATCAGAAATTTTATTCACAGAAGCAGAATTTCTGGGTTAAGGTTTCAAACTAGCTTCAACAAGCTTAATCATCAATCCCAAATACAAAACTGTAACACCCCATTTCTTCCCAATCTTCCCCAAACTCTTATCTTTCAATTCATTCTTAATTTTTAATTTTCAAAGATTATAAAAGTCTAACATCATGTAATATTAACAGGAGATCATCTCCATGCAAATGACGATAACTTTTCAAATATGCAGCCAGTATCAAAATCCATATCGATCTCTTCCAATTGCCCATAATGAACCCAAAAACACGAAGGAAAGCCCGCACAAACAACCAACAAGGAAACCAGAATGCATGAATATATATGCATTCATTGCATGATCAACAATGTACGTCGATAACTTATAACTGGATATATAGAAATGATAATGATCGTTGGTATCACATTGGAAGTTGACGATGGAATAGAGGGAGCGCGAGGTGGTGGACAGGGCCCCAAAAGGCCCCCACGGAGCTGCCGATGAGCGTCAGAAGATGATCTGGTTTAAGCCTCACGAGTTTTAGATGTACATTACCCCCTAAATATCGTTGCCATTGCGTGACGGCTTTTGCTAATTTTGACACTCCTTAACCCCTTTTCTCTCCTCCACCACAAATTCTGTTTTCAGTTACAAGAATATATGGCATGGATTAAATTGGTTCAATTGAAATAGAAGGGTCGCATTTGTAATTTATATATGGTAGACATACTAGTCATAGAATTTAACCTTTTAAATATAAGGGTTAACTACATGAATGATCACTTATGTTTGTGTTTTATCCACTTTTGGTCACTAATTTTAAAATACATAAGATATGGTGCTCACCTTCTTTTTCATTTAATTAAGATATGATCACTTTTATTTTTATTTATTCAAGATGTAATCACCACGAATTAACTGTCGTTAACAGTTAACAGATTAAGTGACATGATATTTTAGTATAATCACTCATTTGGTTCCTATTATTTACATATTCTCACAATTTAGTCATACTTTTAACAATTAAAATAAATTTAATCCTCCATCGAATGATATCACCTGTCATTGGTTCCATGTGTCGTGTCGTGTGTCACCATTATGTTGGAGTACTAACTTTATTTTAATTTACTATATTTACTTTACACCAATTTGCTTTGCTTTGTTAAATTAAAATAAAATAAAGTTAATCTTACAACCGAATAGTGACACACGACACGACACATGGTACCGATGATAGTTGCATCATTCGATTGGAGGAGTAAATTTATTTTTATTTATTAAAAGTATGACTACATTGAGAGAATAAAAAGGATCAAATGTATAATTATACTAAAATATTTAACGACAATTAACTCGTGGTGGGCACGTCTTAATTAAATAAAAACGAATATGACTATATCTTATGTATTTTGAAATCAGTGACAAAAAATGGACAAAATATAAACATAAGTGATTATTCATGAATTTAAATTTTATAAATACAAATATGCTTAATAATAAAATAAGTGTTCAAACTATATCGCTTTTCTCGAATAGGTGCCTAAACTAATTTTCGTCTCAACTAAGTGCCTAATGTTACAACTGTTACCCGTTTAGGTGCCCAGGCCGTCAACTGCATTAATTTTAATCGTCAAGTTACACGTGTCACAATCTAGTGATTTTAAAAATTTTATTTAAAATTAAAAAAATAAAATTATAATTTTTTAAAAAAAAAAAAACACTAATTTTGAAATAAACTCAAAAACTTTAAAAATATTCATTTCAGCCATAAACCTACGCCAGTCAACGAAGCTCCACCAAATCTCTCCTCTACCACGACCAAAACCCTCCATGAAATCTTGACCGATCGACAACGAATCAGCGTTTTAAACCTCTTGAACCTTAAGATTATAATCGTGATTTCAAAACCGATCAGCGCCGCCTCATAATTGCCTGCAATGTACGCTCTCATCATTTTCTTGGTCTTATTATTATTTCCCTTAAATTCTTCAGGTTATGACTTGTTTGTTTTTTAAATTAATTCCTAGTATTATATCCTGATTAAATCAGATTTGTTAATGAATAACTCAGTACGTTATAACACCGTGCTCTGCGATCAGGAAGAAAATATAATAGAATTTTTCCTGTTTCTTGTATGCATCCCTTAGTTGACTGTTAAGTTAATCTTATAATTGTTTTCGGATCTACCATGAGTAGTTTAAGCTAATTCTGTTCATTACTAGAATTGGAATATGTACCAAACAATGGTTTTCTTGTAAGTCCTTAAGCATTGGAAGTTGGAGCCTACCGCCTGGTGCAAGTTTTCTTCTTGTTAGTTTCTATCATCAATTGTTTTTTTCTTTAGTAATCTGTAGAAAAGATGCAACATGTTTTCACTTTAACTTTGAGGATTTCATTTTTGAGCCTTTGAAAAACGTAGTCTTAGGGTCCGTTTGTTTCACGTAAAACGTTTTCTGGAAAATATTTTCCTCATTTTTCAGTGTTTGGTCGGAGGAAAACTGGTTGGTAAACGTAAAACATTTTTCTGGTCAACAGAATTTCTTTTGTGTTTTCTGAAAAATGACTTATAGTCTGATTTTTTATAATTGTTCTCACTTTTAGTCAACGTGGAAGTAAAGGGGCATTGATTGTTGTTGGGTTTTACTTTCAACTTTTAAGCACCATCTAATTTTCCTGTCTTTGTAGTTGGATTTTATACTTGTTAACTATCTTAGTTTTTGGGGTTTATGATCTAATTTTCTGGTATCTAGGTTATCTATGTCTCGGTTAGGATGTTGATCTTCCATTCTCAATCACACGGAAGCATTGGGTTGGTCTACTTTTAACATCCGTGGCTTACTTCTTCCCCTACCAACAACTTGTCCAGATGGCAAAACCTTCTTATGCTGATGATGGAGAGCTTCTTGATGGTGGATTTGATATGAGCACCGGCGGAATATGTGGGTACGGAATTTCAATGTTTTATCTTATTTTCACCTTAATTCCAATGTGTCTGCCAATATGTTCTTTAGCTTATTAGTTGGATAGTTTAAATCTTTATGTTCATATACAAGTCTGTTGAGTTATGAATTAGTTCAATCTATTGTCCATTTGTCTTATGATCTGTGTGTGTGTGTGTGTGTTTCTGTATGTACTAAATATTCCCACCTTACGGTTGCTAGTTTCTTGCAGCTATTTACATGATATTATCTGCATTACAAGTTTTGTGCGACTAGCATCCATTATATCTGACAAGCTTTGGTATACGTATCTTGTGGTAAGTTCTCTTTACATGGTTGCCCATGGAAATCGATCTGATAGTACCATCCTTTGATCTGCTTTTGGAATGAAAGCGTATAATTTGGAACGAAAGTATTTTGCTAATTTCATTTCACTAGCAGAATATCATTTTGGGATAGTAGCCCCATATTGGTAGCTTAATATTACCCTATGTTCCTTGGATAGTTATGGGGTTACTTGTTGCTTTTCAGATACCAGCATTTGGAGCATATGGATCTTTCGGGTACATTAGTGAATTTCTATCACATTTATACATCCTCGTATCGTTCTGCAGGGCAAACGTAAAATTCATATACTGAACATGGATATTTCTACGATTGTTCGTCGAATTGGGAGAGGTGGAGGATGAAAAGCCTCGAAAGAAAAGGGAAAAGATGGAGAGGAAGGCCTCAAGGCCAAAGCTTGTCAAGACTAGAAACAGATGAGCTTTTCCCCAAGCCCAGTGCTTCAGTTGAAAATCCAGAGGTTGCTTTCAAGAGAACACAATTGGTACAAGCACAGAGGTTCCTAGTGAAAACATGACCCAGCCAAGGTTCTGTTACATGTATGAAGGAAACCATAGACCTGATTAAATCCAAGTCAATACAAAGAATTCTGAACAATTTATTGAAAATTCGTGTTAATTACATGTTAATTTCTTACTACAAATTACTATCTTCTTGTTCTAACAGAGGGAAGACGGTTTTATCTTCGCTCGAAGTTCAAATGATTGATAAAAAAATTTAAAAGTGATGAAAAAAATTAAGGGATAGCAGAAAAGAACAGCAGCAGAAACAGCTATGTGATGATTTCCAAACCCAAAATAGTGCTCTAGCAAAGTAGAAACTGTTGTAGTTTCATTATATACCATAAGTTCACCATTATCATCTCCATATTGTGAAGTCAACAACAAGTTTAAAGTCCAAGATGTTGGCATTAAATAATACATCCAGATCCGCCAGCTTGGTATTTTCTGCACAAACCGACAATGAAACTACGGTTCAAATCCGGACATCTGTAACCCCTTCTCCTATCTTCAAACTATCGAAATCGAAGGACAATAACAAGATTTACTCTTTTACAAGCAATGACATGCAAAAGGGAGTGTTTAAAGATCAAAACTAGAGGGAAAATACTTACCAGTTTAGGAAGCTAAAAGCCAGAGAAAAGATTAGTCAACGGATAGCAAGTAGAGGTTAAAGCTCCAGTTATTGCAATATTTGGTGTCAAAGAGACAAGAAGCATTCCTAAAAGGGTGAAGGTCAGCAGTGTAGAGAAGATGGCGTAGAAGTACCAAAACACCTTATATGCCGTCACATAGTATCCTATCATACTATATGTGATTATAACAAACAGTACGGCTTGTGCAAATAGGTAGGGAATCTCTATCAACACCTGCAATATAGGTCCGGCAATTAATTCGTATTACTTTTACGTGTTATAATTGTGCTCAGCGTATTATACATTGATAAGTTCATGTATTCATGTTACGTGTGCAAGAGCATAAGACCAGGAAGAGTACATCCCTGCGAATCTTTCTTGAATACATACTGACTCTCTCGGTTGCCACAGATGGTTGAACAGCTGAGCGGCTGAGCCGCTGTTGCTTCCAAGGAACATCACAGCTCCATACATTGAACCAAAAATGTTGAATAAATTCTGCTGGTTGTTTCTGTAATGGGAAAAAAGGAAGATCAAAGTTAATGCGTCTGCAGAGTTACTACCCATAAACGTAACGTCTCCTTTACAAATTTACCCAGACTTACATTTTGCTTCCTTGGTCCCAAAAGAACATGCCTAGAGTCAAAGAAATTACAATAGTGAACACGAAACGCATCAAGTTGTATGAAGGATTTCTCCAATAAGATAAATGCAGTTTCCATAGGCAATTTTTGATCTGTCCCCAATAGTTTTGGGCATATTGGGTTGGAAAATACACATCTTTGGATCCTGGAGGGGGATTACTCAATAGCCTTACAAGCTCTTTATTGTTCCTACCAAAAAATAAAATAAAAGCTTTCATTTGCAAGTTCATAAATATCCACTAATCCTACCACAAAATGAACAGTGGAAGGTATAAAGATGAACATGTATGTAAAGAGGAAATCATTGGCTCCCGGTTCAACTTCAGAAAACACAAAAATCACCAAATGTTCTAATTTAACTTACTCATACAAGGCAGAACTCTTGTAAATTTCGGCAAAAATCTATTCCTAGTTCAGATTATACTGAAGCTGAAGTAGCCTCTAGCATCCATGTCGCCGGGTTGCAGTTATCTTTGATCTTGGGCAACCCAGGTACGTTCTGCCATGAAGAGTTCAGAGAATAGAAGTAAAAAAAATAAAGTCCAGAAAGCAATTAGTGTAGTACATTAATTAGAGAATGAAAAGGCCAAAAGTGGGCAACTAACCTCAAAATATTCTATAACCGTACTTGAATTTTGTCCCAATAGTCCACAGTAGATTAAACTCCCACCATTTTTTAGATAAATCAACTGCAATGAACATTAACATGAATATAAAGAGAAGTAGAGGACTCATTTTTTTAATAAATTCTTATATTTTTAATTTAAATATTTATTTTTACATGAATCAAAATACCATTAGATCAAAATTATATCGGATATATAAATTTTAACAGGGGCCAAGGCTGTTGAGTTAATCGATTGACGGAATCGGTCAAGAGGGGGTGAATTGGCAATAAAAATTTTGGTGGAAGCTTTTGCAGAAAATTGAAAGAAATTGCACAGCGATTTAGAGTGATTCGACTTTCTCAATCAAAGTCTACGTTCACTACCTTAGCTATCCACACTAAGGATTTTCCAACAAATTCACTAATTTGTTCTTTCTTTTGAGGCCAAAGAGATAACCTTACAACACCCTCAAGAATATACCCCAATTCTTGAGAAAACTCTTTTCTCAAAGAGAAATACAAATTTGCAAACTTACAAGAAAAACCTCACAAGGCAAATATGTTTGCACAATTCTAGAACAAAGAAAGAACACTCAAGAATAAATACAATTGAGCACAATAAGTGTTCTTGAAAGCAAAATGAATATTGAATGAAAAATAGGCTTGAAATGCTCAAACTTGAGGTTTGATGCTTTCTCTTTAATTCTCTCTTGATTCTAATTGCTTGATGTTTCTTGTTGTTGATCAATAGCTTCTAAGCTTGCTTAAATACACCTTGAATCACTTCTGAACGTTGGGGATAATTAGAGAAAATAATATAGCCGTTTTAGTGTGAAAACAATTAATAAAACAGTTTGGAGCGTGGGGGAATTGGTACCCCCTGGGGGGAATCGGTTCCCTCCGAGCATACTGGAATTCTCGGAGCCAAACCATTCAGGGGGAATCGGTACCCCCTTGGGGGGAATCAGTTCCCTCTGAGCAATCTGGAATTTTTGGATTTGAAATGGTTCGAAATACTTTGTAAAATTATTTTGAAATTGTTTTAAGATTAAAACTTAATTTTACACTTTGAGTAAGGATTAAAAAGGATCTTTGAAAGATTTGGAGTAATGTTTTGATATTCGAATAATTCTATCGAATATACTTAGAAAATCATTTGAAAAATCTTAAAATTCATTTAACTTAATTTGTTATATCGAAATATCAAAATGTTTTCAACAATCTCCCCATTTTTGATATAACAAAACATTTTAGTAATTTTAAGATTTTGAAATCAAGTTTTGAAATTACTCCCCATTACTTTAACACTAACACTTCTCCCCCTTTTTGTTAAATCAAAAAGACATATTAAAGAATTTAAACAAGGTTTTGAAATCATTTAGCCAATTGATTATATATAATATAAGCTGCTAAGATCACAAGCAAGAGAAACGTTAGCCATTAGTTTCATAATCAATATTCATAATTAATGTGAAATGGCAAAATTGGTCATTTATCTAATCATGAAGTAAATGATGCAATAATGAATAAATTTAATCACACCAAATAGATAATTTCTAACCATTCATAAAAACAAATTCAAAGTCAATCAATCCACAAATTCAAACATTCCAAAATATTCAAAATGTTAAACCAATAAGTTTGGAGTTCAAAGCAAAACATAGAATCACATATCAGGATCAGGAGGAGGAAAACGAGCTCGCATAGTGGCCATTTCGTTAGTGAGGTCATTAATACGCGCGTTGGTTGCTTCATTATTTGCACGCATCTCCCGAAGTATTTCTAATTGTTGAGCTCCCATTGTGGATAAATGGGACTCTATAGAAGTAAAGCGCGAATCCATGGTAGCATATCGAAAATCGAATGTCTCCATAAAAGTTTAAAAATATGGAGCCATTTGATGCGTTTGTTGTGCTTGCTCCTCGGGCTGCTCAGGCTCATCTTCGGCTTCATCGATGTCTCGCATTAATTGCTCAAGCTCTAGATCTTCATCAGCTTCGGGTGGAGCCTGTGAAGAACTAGCTCCTGGAGTATTTGCAGAAGATCAAACCCATTCACCGGTTTCCTTATCCTTAATCCATCCCGCTCTCGTTAAGGAAAGAAGGTTAATTTGTTTCTTAAGGGGAAAAACAACATCTAGACCGACTCTAAGCCCAGCTTTGGAAAACAGATTACTCAAAATGCAACCGTAAACAAGAGATGAACAGAGTTTTTTTGTTAGGAACAAGATTTACGGTTTCAACAATTTTAGCAAAAATAATCTGAGGTAGGTTGATTTTAATATTGTTTTCGAAACAATGTAACCACCAAAAGATCTAAGGCTCTGAGAGTAGAATAACGACCTCCGGATGGTCGAAACCACCAAGAAATCATTAGATGAAGAAAACGTTCATGAAGGTCTAAGACACTTGCACTATCCCTTCTTTTATAACGAGATCCTAAAACCTATTTTTCATTTGAAATACCATCATTATCTAATCCGAATGTATTGGCTATGTAAGCCGACTCAATATGTAAGAATTTTCCTAGGAGGTAGGAACGAATTCCTATGGTTTCGGTTTCAGTTTGGTTTTTAACACAAACGGCATTAGAATAGAAAATACGAACAAGTTGATGGTAAACGATGGGTTCAAGGTCAAAGAGTTTATCAAATTTCCACTCTTGTAAAAGAGGAAGATATTTAAAATTGATAGCTAACATAGCTTGACGAGAAGGAATACGTTCTTCTCGGATTTTGTAAGAGTCAAAATATTGATAATACCAAAAACGATGATTTCTAGGACCAGAATGATTGAAACACGAATTTTGGATAGTCAAGTTAGGATCAATGGGATTAGGATTAGAAATTGGAATAGGAGGAGGATTTGGAGGTGGATTTGGTTGATGGTGTGAACGACTAGATGATGACCTAGCACATTTAGGATTGGACATGGTTTAGGAAATCGGAATAGAATTGATAACCTGCAATTTAGAAAACACATGTATGCAATTCAATCAATCCCAAAACTCAATTGAGTCCTCAATATTTCAAGGTTCTCTAAATCAATCCTAATGGGCAAAGTTTTTGAAAAACTTTTGAAAAATATGGTTTTGAGAAACAATATATGTATAGTTTTCATAACAACAACATAATTTTTGATGAAATTAGTTGTAATATCTAGTTTCTAATCACTAAATAATTAATGCCCAATCTAAAATTCAACCTAGAACTAATTAAAACTAGTTCTATGTTCATAAATTGATAAAAAAGAAGTTTTGGGAAAATACCTTGAATGATTTCGGATTTGAGTGAGATTAGATAAAGTTTGCACGTTTTTGATGATTCCAACAGGTTTAGAGGATGATATTTGAAGTGAATTCCGATTAAAAACGTTGATTTGAGGCAAAAATGGAGATTTGAGTGCTTAGAGGGAGAGAAACGGCGGAAGGAAGAAAATAGAGGGTTTTGAACAAAAATAAGGGTTCTGCCCGTGTTTAACCAAAACCCCAGGGGGTATCGATTCCCCTGTGGGGGGAATCGGTTCCTTCAAGGGGGATCGATTCCCTCTGCACCAAAATGCTAAAATCCAATTTTAAACACCCAAAATGCTAAATTAATTTCCTCTAGTGGTATTGGCAACTCATATATTGAAAATTAATCATGTTTAAACAATTCAATTAATCTTTAAATGATATTTGAACATAAAATTAATTTTTCATCAAGAATCATAAACTCCCCCTAACTAATAGCAATGAATGCAATCAAAAATTACTATTATAAGCATTTTTCATTTATTATTAAAAGTGCTAAAATTGTTTTAAACACTCAGTGAAGATAGATTGGTCAAACCTAATTCTCTCCTAGGTGTCCAAAATCGTTCATTGTCTAAAGGTTTTATAAAGATATCTGCTAATTGGTGCAAAGTATCAACAAATTCTAAAACTACATCTTCCTTAGTGACATGGTCTCTAATGAAGTGATGTCTTATTTCAATGTGCTTAGTTATAGAGTGTTGGATGGGATTTTTAGTGAGACAAATAGCACTAGTATTGTCACACTTGATAGGAATGGTACCTACTTCAATTCCATAATCAAAAAGTTGTTGTTTCATCCATAAAACTTGTGCACAGCAACTACCAGCTGAAATGTATTCGGCTTCAGTGGTAGATAATGCAACACAATTTTGTTTCTTTGAAAACCAAGAAATTAGCATATTTCCAAGGAATTGGCAAGTACCAGAGGTGATTTTCCTATCTAATTTGCATCTTCCATAATCCGCATCAGAAAAAACATGCAAGCTAAAGCCAGAGTCTCTAGGATACCAAAGTCCTAAACTAGGAGTCTCTTTAAGGTATCTAAAGATTCTCTTAACAGCTAGTAAATGTGATTCCTTAGGACATGATTGAAATCTAGCACATAAGCAAACACTAAACATAATATTCGGTCTACTTGTAGTTAGATAAAGTAGAGATCCAATCATTGACCTATATAATTTAACATCTACACATTTACCTCCTTCATCTAAGTCAAGCTTTGTTGAAGAGCTCATTGGAGTGTCATGAGGTTTCCCATTTTCCAGTCCAAACTTCTTGAGCATATCTTTGACGTACTTTGTAACATCCTCCATACCGGGTTAGTGATTAAAGTGTAAGATTTTAATATGTCAGTGATCAAATTAAATTAATCGAAAAGTGAAGGAATTAATTAAAGATGTTGGGTAGGATGAATAATTAAGTGAATGAGAACTAAAAGGGTAAAAGGGTCATTGAGCAAAGGTAATAATTAAATAATAGATATTGGGTATTATAATATCCATGTGAAAGAAACAAGAGTTTCCAGATAACTCTTGACTCTTCTTTCTTCTTCAACGTGAAGAGCCCAAGCAAAGGTAAGTTTCTTTGTTTGTAAATGAGTTGTTGATTTTAAGGTTGGGTTTTGATTAGTAGATGATAACTAAGCTTAAGGAAAGCTTAAATCATCTTAAAAACAAAGGATTGAGGGGTTAAGAGAGATTAAAGATTTGGAGTTTTTATATGAAATTTTGGAAAGGAA